TGCCCTGTTGCTGCGCCTCGATTAGACGGTTGTCGATGCGTTCCTCTAAACCGCCCAACGTTTCCAGAAACTTCCAAATGCCGAGGCTCTGTTAGTTGTACTTAGTAGAAATGCAGCTAGTCTATGGGGAATTGCGAGATTCTGAAAATGCGAGATTCTGAAAATGCGACATTATGAAAATGCGAGATTATGAAAATGCGAGATTATGATAATGCGAGATTATGAAAATGCGAGATTATGAAAATGCGAGATTATGAAAATGCGAGATTATGAAAATACGAGATTATGAAAATGCAAGATTATGATAATGCGAGATTCTGATACCAAATCCCGACCCATATATAGCCCAAAGGGAGCGTTTTTCATTTTTTGTCATCGGAATTGGGGCACAATTATGCAAAACGAAGAACATCATAGGGTTAGACGGGGCCAGGGTTGAAAAGTCGCGAAGCGGCTTTTCAACCCTGGTATTAATTTCAAAATGAAAAGTATTTTCGCTATAACTCTAAAACCCGTCGGCCGATCGGGCTGTAACTTTCCTTGTTCATAGAAAATTGCCTTCGCTACCTCTGTGCAAGTTTTCAGCTCCGTAGGTCCCCTCTGGCTCAAATTTTTGGGGGGTCTTTTTTTTGGACACCCTGTAGTTGAGCGTGACCATGGTTGAACTGTTTGACATTTTTGTCTGTCATGAATTCGGCATTGAGAAAAGCTCGATAAGGGTAGAGGTCTCCAGTATTTTCAACCTGTGTCCCTCCGATATCCTACTATGTATAAAAAAATAGTTCCTGTGTGTGTGTGGGTGTGTGTGTGCCACTTTGCATGCAACTTCCGTCAGGTTGTTCCAGTCGTATCTCAAGGAGGGAAGTACTTAGGGGTATGTTCGATACGTCATTCGGTGCGTAATGGCCTGGGAACGGCTGCAAGCATATTAGATTTTACAAAATATGATGTTTTCGACATTAAAATTAAGTTTTAAATAATAATTAAACCAAGGAAAGCACATTCAAAAGGGACGGGGCCAGAGATTTGACAATGACTGCGCACCGTGTACAGCCTGAATTTGTGCGTCGACTCGGCTGAATGGCTGCCAAAATTGTGTGGCAACTACTTGCAAGACGTCGTCCAACTGAATGTATTCAATGTTCGTTGTGATTCTCCACGGCCCTATAACGAAATACAGGGTGTCCCAAAAAAAAACCCCCCCCTCGGCATTTGGCCGTCTTCCATTCAATCGGGACCAAATTTTTACCAGTGATGCGGTCCCATAAAAACTATGTGCAGCCGAATTTTCTAAGCAAAATATTGTAAAACAAAGAAGATATATCAAAATTAAGGTTTATTTTGCCGATTTCACTAGGATTTTGACGGATTTCGGCCTCGAAATGTTTAGCAAAAATGAAGAGGGCGCTCTTTTCTACCTGTAGAAATTTTTTCATTTACGAAAATTACGTTTAAATGGGGCCTTTCGATCACTTTTTATTATCGAAATTGCCAGAAACTGACCGAGAAATGACCATTTTTTGAAAAATTATTCAAAATCCGCATGCTAATTGCGAAAACATAGCCAAAAACGAGTACCAGCGTTCTCCAAAAATCAGTTTTTAAGCGATAACTTTTTGGTTTTACAATATTTTGCTTAGAAAATTTGGCTGCACATAGTTTTTATGGGTCCGCATCACTGGTAAAAATTTGGCCCCGATCCGATAGAAGACGGTCAAATGCCGAGGGGGGGTTTTTTTTGGGACACCCTGTATAGCCATTTTTGAGCAGTTTATATTGTTTTTAGTTATAAAAACGGTAAGAGTTTACTTTACCCCCCACAGCCGAAGGGTCTCAAAGTTGTCGGTATTTTCGCTTATTTTGTCCGGGTTTTTGCAACGCCATTCGATAGAGCGTCGAAAAATATACTAAGAGTTTTAATTTGAGCCTACAATAATGTAAAATAAAAAAGTTATAGCCAAAAACTTCCGGCTGGGGGGGTAAAGTAGACCGTAGCCGAACAGGGAACCGAGATACGGTAGATGAAGGTCGGCTGGGGTGGCAGACGTGACTCGAAACTTACCCTTTGGAACCTGTACTCCCATGGCGAGAACCAGCCGGCGAGGAAGCACGGCGCCCATCGTCCGTTCGGCGATGGCCCCTGAAAAAAGAAATATCGATCGACCAGGTACAGTACCCAAATGATGCAGCGGGATGCCCATGGGATACCCCGGTGATTACCCCTGTTGTCCAGTGTACGACGACGGCTTTGTGCGCCACCCCCATCAACGATGCTGGCCACAAGGTGAAGTTTGTAGGATGCATTGAATAGAGCAGACTAGCAGAGATTATTAGAGAATTTGAGAAGGGGTGGCTAGCAGAGATCATTAGAGAATTTGAGAATAATCAATAAATATGCCGATTAATGGAATGCAATAACCTCTGGTTTACAGGAGGTGTCCCCGGTGATTACCCCTGTTGTCCAGTGTACGACGACGGCTTTGTGCGCCACCCCCATCAACGATACTGGCCACAAGGTGAAGTTTGTAGGATGCATTGAATAGAGCAGACTAGCAGAGATTATTAGAGAATTTGAGAAGGGGTGGCTAGCAGAGATCATTAGAGAATTTGAGAAGGGCTTGCTAGCAGAGATCATTAGAGAATTTGAGAAGGGGTGGCTAGCAGAGATCATTAGAGAATTTGAGAAGGGGTGGCTAGCAGAGATCATTAGAGAATTTGAGAAGGTAAGCAGAGAACAAAAAGGAATAATCATAGGCACCGATAATGTTGTCGAGGTATGTGCAACCTTACAGGCTGCTTCCCCCCCGTCGCCACTTCAAGGCAGCTACTGCTCAGCGGATGAGCGCGTCATCTTCAATGCGCTGCCGGCTCCGCCCAGACAGGTAGCCTTGCGGATGAATGAGGCGTGGTTTTGAGCAACCTCCGGATAGAATTATTGAAATATTCTGTTTTCACGGGTCATAACTTTTCTGGAAGGCCGCTTCGGGGGTGCTTTGGGTCTTCGCATGGTGATCGTCGGCCCTTTCCATAGGTTTCCACGAACATTGGCGGCAAAACGTCAAGAAAAGCTGCGCGTTTATGCCTTATATAATTTATCGACACTTTCGGGGTAGGCTAATTAATCCCTAACTAACTGGGTATTCAAAAATTGCAGAAAACGACAGTTCGCAGGGCGTCCCGATAAAAAAGAACACCCTTCTGCTCCCCGCCCTAACGCGACGCAGAAGTGTCGGATCGAAATGCTAGTTACACAAATCGATAGCCCTTGAAACGACCAGTTTGCCACAATCTGAGAAGCCTGTTTTGATTTAAATTTGCTCTTTTACAAGCGATTCGGTTTTGTCGGGGTTGCATACGAGCTATTTGCCTCAAGCTGCTCAAATAAAATGCTAGTAGCCGTTAATTTGAGGCAAAGTCCGTTCCAAATGGTTCAAATTCGTTGTAAAATCGCTTAAGGTGTAAAAAATGTAGAATAAAAAAAGTGTGATAAGGGTTCATGCAAATAAGCCGTTTCACGTGCTTACGAATCGTGTAACTATGGTTCCGATCGAATACTTCTGCGTCCAGTTTGAGGCATTATTTTTTTAAAATGAATTTGTGTTTGTAAATTTAAATTTTGTGGTAAAAATCGACACCTTCGTTGCTAAAAAACAATTAGCATACACGGAAAGTCGGGGGAGCTTCTTTCATGATTTCTCATCGAAATTCGGGCGAGTTATGCAAGTGAAGGATTTCGTGTGCTCATAAGGAGTGCTTTTTTGAGTCATACGCAATAATTTCGAATTGCATTCGATAGAGAATTTCATCCGGTGTGGCGCTAGGAGGTTTATTTTTGCAGACTGGCCGTCCGGAATTTTATAGAATTATAAAAAAACTAAATTGGTATTTTCCTGCGTCGCTCGGCGCGCGCTGATGGTAGGTAAAGATAGCCGGCCCGCGCTTCCCCAATCATCATCAGCAATAGCGCAATTGGTAGCGCGGTGGCCTTTCAGACTTTTTTTGCACTTCTTTGGGAGGTTCGGTTCTTACACGTGTGATTTCTTTTGCTTTGAACTTTTATAGCTTAAACCTCATCGCGTTACCCAGAACGAAATTCTCGATCGACTACACTATCTTTCGAAATGATTTGCGTATGGCTCAAAAAAGCACTCCTTACCCGACCGATAATGCGAAAGAACCGGAATTCCTAATGGAAAAGTGAGGCAAGTTGCATACAGTACTGGCCAAAATTCTATCATAGTTCGGTTTTTAGGCTATAACTTCGCGGGGCTCGGGTGGTTCTGCCTGAAATTTACACACAATGTTGGCTAAAGTGCAATATACTTGCTGTAGTGTTTTTATAATTTTTCGATTTAGCGTCGGCGCGTACGGTAACATTTTGTCGAGCAGATAATAGGATTCAAAAATTAACTTTGTTTAAGGAATTTTCCGATTTCGAAAACATTTCCAGCGTCTTCGGCAGGGTCGGGAACCTTTACTGTAGCCATTTCGTAAAATTTGGGAGCCGGGAAGTGGCTCTAATCGGCCCTGGAAGTTGGTCGCGCGGGGGTAGAAATGTCCTCCTCCGACAGGGCCCCCAAGGTGCCAAACTCCCATCTTCCATGCACCCAAAGAGGCCCTTCCCGGCTCCCAAATCTTACGAAGTCGCTGCAGTAAGGGTTTTCGATCCTGCTGAGCACGCTGGACATGTTTTCGATATCTGAAAATTCCTTAAACAAAGTTAATTTTTGGAACCTATTATCTGCTCGACAAAATGTTACCGTACGCGCCGACGCTAAATCGAAAAATTATAAAAACGCTACAGCAAGTATATTGCACTTCAGCCAACATTGTGTGTAAATTTCAGGAAGAACCACCCGAGCCCCGCGAAGCTATAGCCTAAAAACCAAAATATGGTGGAATTTTGGCCAGCACTGCACCAGCGTCCAGTCTCATATAACATTGTCTTGCCTCGCCTTTAGAAAACCGCTTTTTCAGACGTGGTGGGATGACGTGAAGCAATGGCTGAAGAGGTTTCGAAATCAGGTTAAAATTCCTTCTAATCTGATTTAATTATTATAATAATGGTACATGTAATAATAAAAATAACATAATGTTATAGAGAATTTTTAAACATCCTGCACTAGCTATTTATTTTTAAAAAACCTATGCCGAAGCCGTTTATGTGCATCGAAAATAGCTGATTTGTGGCGGTTTTAGGATTAAACCGTTCCTGACTTTTGAGAAAGAAATTCATAACGCTTACAAGGAGTCGCTTTTAGGTGCTTTTGGAGTTTCGGGACGGGACCTAGCTAGTTCGATAGAGAAAAAATTTTTGAGCAACATCCCGTTTTTAAAAAGTGCTGATCGATAAAGCTGTTTTAGAAAATTTAATTTAGTTAAAAATGTTCCCGGTGTCCGGACCCTTGTGGTGATTTGAGGTTATTTGCGGCGGTCGACCGCTCCCGCCACATGAGGACTCCACGCGCCTTGGATCCGGTCCTAGGCATGGCCAAGTGGCTAGTGCGATGGGCTACGAATTTTTTTTGACCTTTTGCCACAAGTTCGATTCTTATTTATCGTTAACTCTTTGCTTTTTTGCTAATTAAAATTTTATGCACCGAGAACGGGCTCAAGAACCAAAAAGCAAAGGGTTAGCGAGCGCGAAGATTCGAACCCAAGGCAAAAAATGTTAAAAAGTTGGTAGGCAAGCGCGCTACCAATACGCCAATGCAACCTGCGATGGAGGCATTGGCGAAGGGATACGTATGGCGCCCTGCCCAGCCCCGAAAACGACGTGCACCGAGGAAATGGACCCGAAAACTAGAAAAAAGCGCGAACTTTAAATTAAATTTTCTAAAACACCTTTATCGATCAGCACTTTTTGAAAACGGGATGTTGCTCAGAATTTTTTTCTCTATCGAACTAGCTAAGTCCCGTCCCGAAACTCCAAAAGCACCTAAAAGCGACTCCTTGTTAGGCAGAATCGGCGGCTATATTCGGAATTAGCACTAAACTCTGCACAAAATAGGCTTGATCCCATCCGAAAGTTCGGATGACACTCGGAAACGTCTACTTGTCAGTGCTCAACCTTCACTTCGGAACCTTTCCGGTTAAAGATCAACTAAATGATTTCAGGAGAACCGTGGAGACGACGAGCAGAAGTTGCGCTGGACGCAACACTCCAGTCAGCAACTGGCGCTGATGGTGGGTGTGCTACTATGAATCACCATGAATTACGATGATTACGGTTCTCGAGATAATTGGATAATCGAGATAATCGCTTTTTTTTGGTCCACCCGGTACCGGGTGTTCCAAAAAAATCGTACCTTTCCACCGTAGCCGGTATTTGGCCCAAGATAAAAAAATTCCCGTTGATTATAGGCCAAGCTCCGATCCACCGGCTACGCGGTTTTTACTACATTCATCCCCGCCGGTGTTGCCAGCCCTTGCCTCCTGGATGACGAGGGCATAATCGTATGGGCAGAGCCGTCCCCATATCATACGTTGTCGGTTGGTGGTTACAGTTATTCAAAAAAAACAATACAGGATATCCCAACCCCCCGCCCTACCGGTCGGCAGTCGGGTCCGATTTTGGTTCTATACCGGGTCCTTAAAAATCAGGATCCTTGATAAAAAGAAGGGTCCTTAGAATTTTTATGTTAAGGGCCCTTGTCCCGACAGGGGTCCTTAAAACCCATACGATTTTTAAGGACCCCGATTCCGCCAATACCCAAAGATACGCTATTTTCGCGGATTTTGCACAGATTTGGGCTCGATTCGCCTTTTAAGTTAAACGGCTTTCTTACACCCAGTCTGAGCCTAGAAATAAGGGCTCGAGCCACCGGGAGCCCAGTCGCTTCGGATGGATGCCTGACGTATCATAATGCTCCAATTGTGCTCATGCCGACAGAAATTTCCACAAAATCTGACGTTTTAAGTTTTTTAGGACACCCTTTATTTGTGTAATTTCAGGAGCGTGACATCGTGATTTCAATTGGCGGCTGCGCCGAGGTCAGCAGCTCCAATATCACTCGCCGCAATGCCCCTCGCTATCTGACTATCGGCCGCTTCCAGGTAGTTTGATAACCGGAATTGAGAGAGGGGCAGGCTAGCACAAATCACTAGGGAATTGAGAGAGGGGCAGGCTAGCACAAATCACTAGGGAATTGAGAGAGGGGCAGGCTAGCACAAATCACTAGGGAATTGAGAGAGGGGCAGGCTAGCACAGATCACTAGGGAATTGAGAGAGGGGCAGGCTAGCACAGATCACTAGGGAATTGAGAGAGGGGCAGGCTAGCACAAATCACTAGGGAATTGAGAGAGGGGCAGGCTAGCACAGATCACTAGGGAATTGAGAGAGGGGCAGGCTAGCACAAATCACTAGGGAATTGAGAGAGGGGCAGGCTAGCACAGATCACTAGGGAATTGAGAGAGGGGCAGGCTAGCACAGATCACTAGGGAATTGAGAGACTACTAGTATAGGTTGTTTTATCCCCAATTTCCCCAGGATATTTTATTCCCAATTTCCCCTGGGTATTTTATTCCCAATTCCCAATGGTATTTTATTCCCAATTCCCCAATGGTATTTTATTCCCAATTCCCAATGGTATTTTATTCCCAATTCCCAATGGTATTTTATTCCCAATTCCCCAGGGTATTTTATTCCCAATTTCCCATGGGTTTTTTGACAGGTTAAACATTAGGATATTTTCAAAACTTTACATGTCCTTTTCCTGGTAACAAGTTGAACACGTCTACCAAAACCCCGTTTTTGCATTTAAATTTTGCGCTAGGCGCAGGGAAGGTGTAGTGGTCGGGTTGCGCCCCTTGAGAGAAGGTGATAACCTGAACGAGAGACCGCAACGTGCCCGATACGCATTCACGGGATGTATAGTTCGACAAATTACACAACGAATACTTTTGGGTTTTAACACCTTACCCTCTCTTGTAAGAGTTGACAACAAACTAGGATAAATAGCGCAATTTTTCCGGTTATTTGCGAAAAATGGAGAGACAACCGTTTAAATTTCAACACCCATGTTCAATTTTTGTGTTTTGCCAGTCTTTGGGTGGGAAAACAACCTGGACAATGAAATTACTCGAATATATCGAACAAGTCCTTGAAGGTCACGAAAATGTCGAAAATATTTACTATTTTACTGGTTCAAAACAAGAAATGGAAAACAAATTTCCTACGATGCCACAAAATTTTCATATTTTCGAAGGTCCCCCGACTAATGAACAAGTAGATAACTTGAAAAACGCTGTAGTGATCCTTGACGACTTGATGCTGGACATGAAGGAAAATGTAATGGCTGCTTTGACTTCACGAATTACCCACCACCAAAACTGTACCCTAATTTTCCTAAGTCAAGATGCTTTTCGTACCAGACGTACCGCGCGTATCAACGCAAACTACATTGTCCTTCTACGGTCCGTTTCTGACCTTTTGCAAGCAAGACAAATAGGTTTGCAATGTTTCCCAAACCAGTTTGCATACTTTTGGGATAGCTATCTGGACGCAACAGCAAAACCATATCAATATTTGGTGGTCAACTGTCACCCAAAGCTTGAAAACCGAGACGAAAGACTGGTTACCAACATTTTTCCAGATAAAAGGCAAATTTTCTACTTGCCCAAACATTCATTTGCAAATGGAAAAACGTTTTGAAAATTGGCAAATTTTTCACAAACTTGCAAAAAGTTCAAACCCTAGACTTGTAATTCAGAAAAGTACCGACCAAGAAGTACAAACTGTCATCGAGTTTGTTTACAACCTAACATCAGGCACGGTACCACTCTATAAATACGAGAAAAAAGGACTTGAACCACATTTGGCAACTTTGACGAACCTCGCTAAACTACGCGATTTTACGCAAGCGCGAAATAGTCTTGAAACACACGCCCAACTGCTAAAGCTTTTGACAAAACCTGCTATATCTTTTAAAAATGCCCACTACGGAAAAACATTTTGAAAAGATGATGCTAGTTCCTTGCACTGAAAACCCTCAACAAGGTGATGGTTACGCCCAAACCCCGCGCGAACAAGCCGTTGAAAAAGCCAAAGAAGCTGAACAACAAATGACCAATGTACTTCAAAGTACAATGCCTGACGACCTGAAAATGCAACTGTACCAAAAGTTTCTAAATGTTTTGACACAACATATCCAGGAAATTCGAAAGTACGATCCTTTGCAACAGCAAACACCACAAAACCTAGATTTGTTACCTGAAGAAAATTTGCAAACTTCAGTTGTACCTGTAAAAAGAGCACGACGCAAACCTTCAAAACAAAACCCCTATAAGAAAGTCATGGAACTTTTGTCAAAACATGTCAAAACTGACAACAAAAACCGAGTTTTGGACGCGGATGGTCAGCCAATTGAGGGCAGCGACCTATTTGAAATCGCCAGGGTGGCAGCTAGCGAAACAACACACCCCTTTCCAATAGGTTATAACGACGCATACCACCAAGTACAAGTCCAGACCCCAAGACTTGTCAAAAACCTGAAGGAACCATCTTTTGTCCCACGTACCATTCAAAACATACAAAAGGCGGTCCTAACGCCCACTAAAAACACATCGCCCGAGACGGTCCCTAAAGTCAGTGTGCTAAAACGTATCCAAAACTTGCAAAAAGACCTAATAGCTAAACAACAACTTCGACATAAAATTTGGGAAGACGATGACGAAAACCAAACAGGTAGTGGCAAAAAGAAGTTCAAAGTTGCAAAATACAACTAAGATACTGGACGAACTGTACACTAACCCCGACTCGAACATTGCCTTTACTTCTAGAAATAATCTTGTAGTAGCAAGTAAAAAATATGGCATCACAAAAGCCCAAGTGGACAAATATCTTCAAAAGAAAAATTCCTACATCCTTCACCGAAGAGTTTTACACAAGTTTCCTAGAAAGAAATTCATAGGAACTAGTATGAACAGTCACCATGTCGCAGATCTTGCTGATTTTCAAAAAATCAAGCAATACAACCAGGGCCAACGATACATTTTGGTAGTTGTTGATCTATTTTCAAGAAAAACTTTTGCTAGACCATTGCTAAACAAGAGACCCCAAAGCGTGAAACGACGTCTAGAGCAAATTTACAAGGAAATTGGCGATGCACCCTATTTTTTGACCACCGATCAAGGTCTCGAATTTACTGGTGCACCAATGAAAGCTTATCTGAAAGCCAATGAAATTCGTCACATTTTGACGAAAGGTGTGGCAAAAGCAGCACCTGCTGAACGTAAAATCCGCGACCTAAAATCGCGTATCTACAAATATTTTACCGAGAACAGCACTTACAACTGGGTTGACGTCCTACCAAAAATTGTCGAAGGTCTCAACAATACACCGACCGAACCCCTAAAAGGTTTGACACCTAACGAAATGAAACATGACACTGTCATACCCACCGACGTAACAGCCAAATTCAGAAGACCCGAACCACCACTAGCACTTGACGACTACGTAATTGTAAAGAAACCACAAGTCAGCTTTCGCAAAGCCTACAAAGGAACCTTTTCTGGTGAAGTTTACCGAATTATGCGTGTGGTTACGCCGGGAAACTTTTCTGCACCAGTTTTTTACCTAAAAACGTTGCAAGGACTACCACTTAAAAAAGTCTTTTACAAAGAAGAACTGCAAAAAGTCCAACGACCAAAAATGTACCGCGTAGAAAAAATTTTGGGTAACAAACGGTTGGGTGGTAAACCTCATAGCCTTGTGAAATACCACCAACAACCCTCGGTATATAATGGATGGGTACCTGACAAAACCCTCATTTACACCGACAAATTATGATAATGGAAGAACTACTTTCAAGCCGTTCGTCAACCACGTCAGCAAGTCGTAATAATATTAGTTTGGCCTGGGCAAGGGTACTTATTATTTTCTCATCACCCTATCGTGTCTCGCCAACATGACGATAGCCCATATAAAGGGCAACGACCTGACAGTATGGCTAAGTGCTACACTTTCAGTTGCTTGTCTTTTGGTACCCTCACCCCTCAAAAGCAAACCTCTCAAAGGAAATGAGTGAGGACTTTTACGTCACATTGGTAGGACCAGGGCGTCGAGATGGTAAAGGTTCAACCTTTGTCAATCGCCTCGCCAAAGAGGTCAATATGTTCCAAGCTACGGGACACCAAAGCTATTGGACCTGTGCATTGGTTGACTTTACAACCGCAGTGTCCTGGGATCAAGTGGCAGAAGCACAAAAATTTAGACTTTGGTCTAAAGATGGTAAAGAAAGCATTTTGTGGTTGTCACCCGGTACTTACCCCACCCCACAACGTCTAATTAACGCACTAAACGCCATTTTTGCAAAAACGTTGAAAAGGAAACGCGAAGCCCCTTTGCTACCAGCTAATGTCGTGGCAACACAACCCCTTCCAAAGCTTATACCACCTGGTGCTCCAAGCACCGCTACTCCACCACAACCAGCAGTCGTTGCAACACCGCCCGAGACAAAACTACCCAAACTAACACCACCGGGAGCTCCAAACGCTGCCGAACCCCAGCCTCCACAGCAAACGCAACCTAACCTGTACCCCTACCGCGCTTTCATCAATACCGAGTTTATGATGGACCCTTCGATCAAAAAGTACAATGTCGGACATGCGCAGTGCTACAGTGATGTCGAATCGGGCATCGAACACGAGACCAATGACGGGTTCGAGGACTTGTCGTCGGTCTTCATGAAGGGCAAACCCGTTCGTGTAAACAGCCCTCTTGACCTGAACATTGCCACGGCAAACAGGCTAATGCTTAACAACACGGATATTCAAATCACACTACATCGTCAAAACGACAACTTTTTGATTCGCAACTATGGTTCGACAAAGACCGACTGGCGTTTCAAGATTCACGATATCCGTTTGGTACTGGCCGAGTACCAGCTGTACCCTTCGGCGAGTGCCGCTATCGAACACTCGTTGGCAAGCGGGAAGAAAGCTAGCTATCCGATGCGTTCTTACCAGACAAAGGGGTTCTATTTGCCGGAGAACCAACTGAAAGTACCCGAGATGCAACTATTCAACTCAAACCAAATTCCACGACGACTTTTTGTCGGTTTGGTGAAAAATGGCGCCTTCACAGGCTCTCAAGACACTGACCCTTGGCGTTTCAACAACTTTGACTTGAAAAATATTCAAGTACGGTTTGCGGGACAAACCCTACCCACCAAGGCGTGGAACCTCGACTGGAACCCGGACAATGGCGTCGGTTGGACTGAAAGTTACACGGCAATGTTGGAGGGTACTGGTATGGTAGCTGGTAACCGTACCAATGGCATCGATATGACCACTTTTGCCGACAGTCGTTGCGTACACGTTTTTGAGTTGCTGCCTGAGGCAGATGGTGGCGTCGAAAACTTTGACATGGCCATTTCGGGACAATGCACCTTGGACCTTGAGTTTGGGACCCCTACACCTACTGGTGGTCTCATGTGTGTTGTACACGCCGAGTTTATGAACAAATTGACCCTTGACCACGCCCGACAAGCCCAAACTTTGGCCATTTGAAAAAATGGACAGTTTTCAACTTAATCACATCCTGGTAAACAACCCACACACGCGCTCAAAATACATTGGTGTCTTTGCTGCAGATACTTTACCCACGTGGAAATACGGTTTTGGTGGTCTAGTCGTAAATTTGGACAATTCCACTGAACCCGGTAGCCATTGGGTGGCAATTTTTGGTGAAAACGGGGTTGGCTACTACTTTGACCCTTTGGGTAAAAAACCAAAGGGTAAAATTCAAAAGTGGTTGCAAAAGACATTTACACATGTCATCTACAACACCGAACAACATCAAAAATTTGGTACCAAAACCTGCGGCGCTTTCGTTTTAGTCTTTTTGCACCAAATGTGTTTGGGTTGTAAGTTTTACGACTTTAACAAATTTTTCAAATTCATTACCAATGACGATCGTTTTGTGATAACCTATGTCGCGAAGCACTTTGGGGTCAACCTGCCGGCGGTGTGGGCCAACTAGCCCCACCCACACTTGGTGCGGTACACTTTTTGAGGTCATTCGTCACTTTGTCACGCTGCTGTACGGTCGTCACATGGAGTTCCCTAATGTTCAACGTCATGTCGTGTCGAACCCTCTCCACGGATGTCGCTACTGCCAAAAGTACTTTACGACCCGTTCAAACCTCAACCGTCACGTCCGACTCAACTGTCTCCAAAAAAGCGCAGCGTTGGACGCAAAAGAAGACCTGCCGAAGGAAGTGCCGCAAGTCTCGACGCCACAAAAAGACCCACCAGGACACAAACTTTTTCCCTTGTTGTTTTTTCTTGATCCTGTTAGTAATGCTATTATCGCCAATTTACCTGACCTTAAGCAACCTGTTCAGTAAATAAAATTTTTTGTTAAAAAGTTGTTTGACGGAAATTGCACAACACAAAACACAAACACACGCGCACTGCTCATTACAACACGGTCGCTTCCGGTTCTCGCTTTCGGCCCTCGCTGGGTTTATATACTCTTCTGAGGCTCCGCCCTTTGATTCTAATTGGCAGACCACGCCTTACATCTTGATGAGTCATCCTCTGATGAGTCATCATGGGGTGATTTATCATGGGGTGATTGATTGGTCTGGGACTCTGGGCCTGCTAGGGGTGAGTCATCGCTTTGAAACTCCGCCCCTCAGAGCGGGTATTTAAGGTCCCAATGCATCAGCTGTCGCCAATCCGAAACACCCCCAGGGCAAAATTTACACACAAAACAGGGTTCTGGTAGAACGTGTTAAACTGGTTACCAGGAAAGGGATCGGTAAAGTTTTGAAAATATCCTAATGTTTAACCTGTCAAAAAACCCATGGGAAATTGGGAATAAAATACCCTGGGGAATTGGGAATAAAATACCATTGGGAATTGGGAATAAAATACCATTGGGGTATTGGGAATAAAATACCATTGGGAATTGGGAATAAAATACCCAGGGGAAAATGGGGTTAAAAACCCATGGGGAAATTGGGGATAAAACAACCTATACTAGTAGTAGTTGAGAGAGGGGCAGGCTAGCAGAGATCACTAGGGAATTGAGAGAGGGGCAGGCTAGCAGAGATCACTAGGGAATTGAGAGAGGGGCAGGCTAGCACAGATCACTAGGAATTGAGAGAGGGGCAGGCTAGCACAGATCACTAGGGAATTGAGAGAGGGGCAGGCTAGCAGAGATCACTAGGGAATTGAGAGAGGGGCAGGCTAGCACAGATCACTAGGGAATTGAGAGAGGGGCAGGCTAGCACAAATCACTAGGGAATTGAGAGAGGGGCAGGCTAGCACAGATCACTAGGGAATTGAGAGAGGGGCAGGCTAGCACAAATCACTAGGGAATTGAGAGAGGGGCAGGCTAGCACAGATCACTAGGGAATTGAGAGAGGGGCAGGCTAGCACAGATCACTAGGGAATTGAGAGAGGGGCAGGCTAGCACAAATCACTAGGGAATTGAGAGAGGGGCAGGCTAGCACAAATCACTAGGGAATTGAGAGAGGGGCAGGCTAGCACAAATCACTAGGGAATTGAGAGAGGGGCAGGCTGGCACAGATCACTAGGGAATTGAGAGAGGGGCAGGCTAGCACAGATCACTAGGGAATTGAGAGAGGGGCAGGCTAGCACAAATCACTAGGGAATTGAGAGAGGGGCAGGCTAGCACAGATCACTAGGGAATTGAGAGAGGGGCAGGCTAGCACAAATCACTAGGGAATTGAGAGAGAGGGGCAGGCTAGCACAGATCACTAGGGAATTGAGAGAGGGGCAGGCTAGCACAGATCACTAGGGAATTGAGAGAGGGGCAGGCTAGCAGAGATCACTAGGGAATTGAGAGAGGGGCAGGCTAGCAGAGATCACTAGGGAATTGAGAGAGGGGCAGGCTAGCACAGATCACTAGGGAATTGAGAGAGGGGCAGGCTAGCACAGATCACTAGGGAATTGAGAGAGGGGCAGGCTAGCAGAGATCACTAGGGAATTGAGAGAGGGGCAGGCTAGCACAGATCACTAGGGAATTGAGAGAGGGGCAGGCTAGCACAGATCACTAGGGAATTGAGAGAGGGGCAGGCTAGCAGAGATCACTAGGGAATTGAGAGAGGGGCAGGCTAGCACAGATCACTAGGGAATTGAGAGAGGGGGCAGGCTAGCACAAATCACTAGGGAATTGAGAGAGGGGCAGGCTAGCACAGATCACTAGGGAATTGAGAGAGGGGCAGGCTAGCACAGATCACTAGGGAATTGAGAGAGGGGCAGGCTAGCAGAGATCACTAGGGAATTGAGAGAGGGGCAGGCTAGCACAGATCACTAGGGAATTGAGAGAGGGGCAGGCTAGCACAAATCACTAGGGAATTGAGAGAGGGGCAGGCTAGCACAGATCACTAGGGAATTGAGAGAGGGGCAGGCTAGCACAGATCACTAGGGAATTGAGAGAGGGGCAGGCTAGCACAGATCACTAGGGAATTGAGAGAGGGGCAGGCTAGCACAAATCACTAGGGAATTGAGAGAGGGGCAGGCTAGCACAGATCACTAGGGAATTGAGAGAGGGGCAGGCTAGCACAGATCACTAGGGAATTGAGAGAGGGGGCAGGCTAGCAGAGATCACTAGGGAATTGAGAGAGGGGCAGGCTAGCACAGATCACTAGGGAATTGAGAGAGGGGCAGGCTAGCAGAGATCACTAGGGAATTGAGAGAGGGGCAGGCTAGCAGAGATCACTAGGGGAATTGAGAGAGGGGGCAGGATAGCAGAGATCACCTAGGAATAATCGCAATCTTCTTGGTCTCAGGAATAATCTTGGATTATCAGGAGACCACTTCTACGATCAGCGAGGCTACGGACGAGTTTGTGCCTGTGAGGTTTTCGAGTAGATCAAACCCTGTAGACTAGCCTAGATCACCAGGGAATTGAGAGTGGGCAGGCCGTAATAACACATCTGTTTAGGATGACCCGCAGCAGCCCCTGATTGACGTGATCAACAACAACACCCTCATCGCGTTGCTGTTCAGCGGCTATGTATGCGGAGTATGCGTCAGGAGCACCAAAACGCTGCGCCCTTTTCACGGCATTCAACTCTGCGCCGTCCACCGCAACCAAATCAGGTGTTCCCTAATTCCTCGGATCATACTTTTTTCGCAGCCGGAAGCAACCACCTGGCGAGTGCGTCGATTTCAAAACCCATGGTCTCTTGCGACTCACGCATACTCGTAAGTTATTTTTTCCTGGCCTTCAGAGCTTGTGAATTCCAGAGCCAAGCGACTGTCATGCCTGCACGGCCATCATTGTCCGGCAGCTCACCGGCCGCGGCGGTTCATGAATGAGCTACAGATGCGAATGTTCAACAACATTAAGCTTGTGTTCTCCCGCTTTTCCCCACCTTTCGCCTTGTGTATTTGCGTGCCTTTCCCCTCTCTTCCCTTATTTATATCCCTTTGTGTATATCATAGATGAATTGTCCGTGATTCGAGTTACTTGCCGACATTTCCTTCTTTTCTTCATCGTTGTCGCGCGTTTTTTGTATATTTTCTTTTTTTTTTGGATAGGAGGGACTTGTGGTGATGAAATGAATTGTGCCATTTATACAGTATCCAACTACGGGCCAATGCATAATGACGCGCATGGATTGTTCTGGAATGGGCTGGGGGGAAGATTTTGAATTTTCCGGTTTAGATACGGGCGTGTTTTTAGCCCTCAAACACAACGAGTCACCAACGGGCAACACCTGTTTACACTCCGTAATCGATTTCCCAAACCCAATTAATCCTACTATATATAAAAAAATAGTTCCTGTGTGTGTGTGTGTGTGTGTGTGTGCATTTGCATGCAACTTCCGTCAGGTTGTTCCAGTCGTATCTCAAGAAGGGAAGTACTTAGGGGTATGTTCGATACGTGATTAGGTGCGTAATGGCCTGGGAACGGCTGCACGCATATTAGATTTTACAAAATATGATGTTTTCGACCTTAAAATTAAGTTTTTCATGGAAAATCGGACACCCCACTTTGTTAGGATCAAATTAGCATGCACCGGAAGTCGCGGTAGCCTATATAAAGGGACGGCAAGAGCAGTTTTCATTTTGGTCACCCGAATCCGGGAAAATTATGCAAAGCCAAGAATATCATTAGAGAAGACGGGGCCAGGGTTGAAAAGCCGCGAAGGGGTTTTTCAACCCTGGTTTACAGTAATTTGTTTCCAAAAGGCACGAGCCGCGTATTGGATAGGCGCGCAGCGTTCCAAAAACTCAAGTTTCGTGACGTCTCCGTCTTTGGTTATTTTGGAATGCTTGTACCCTTCTCCCTTATCGTTGACAAGACGAAGAGTAGTGAACTTTCGGTTCTATACCGGCAGCGGGGATTTTTCCAGGAATCGGGGATTTTTCCAGGAAAAGGGGATTTTTCCAGGAATCGGGGATTTTTCCAGGAAAAGGGGATTTTTGCCGGGGATCACCGGAATCGGGGATTTTTCACGGAATCGGGGATTTTTCCCGGAATCGGGGATTTTTCCCGAAATCGGGGATTTTTAAAAACAGGCAAATTGGCCGAATTTTGGAGCCGTCGAAATCGGGGATTTTTGAATTGGCTGTTTGGGCCGGGCTAAAATCCCCGATTTCAAATTTTCTGGAAATACCGAAAAAAACTGTTTTTTCAACCCTGTTATGCATATGTTTGCCATCTCCACCCTAATTTGTGTTTTTTTCGGTGTTTTAATCCATAATTGCCGTGCATGAAGCTAATAAAGCAGGCAATTTATTGATAGGGAAGTTGAAGATGGGGGAAAATTCAGGTTTACGGTACTCTCCCAAAATGCGGTTTTTATGTTCAAATCGCTAAATAAAGGTCAGAAACGGACTCATCGACAAAAATTAGGTGGCGGAAGGCACTTTTTAGGGGAGAAAACCTCATTTTGGTTTTGAGATCGGGTACCGTAAAGTAGTATACGGGGGTGACTACTTTACGGTACTCGCCCAAAATTTTCCTTTTTCTGCACGAATAGAAGCACCAAGGTTTGAAACGTATTAATCAGCAAAAATAAGTGGGCGGAAAGGCCTAAAAATGAGTGATTTGAGACTTCGAAGTTTGAGGCTTATGACATGTCGTGCAAGGTGGGCCGTCGCTTCGGATGGGCTGCCGCTCCACTCTTTCGAAATCAGGGCGCCTGGGCGCTTCGCGCTCCTCGGGCACCCCGATTTCGAAACACTGTACGAGCTCGCACCCATCCGAAGCGACTAGGCCCCCGGTGGCACGAAGCCTTTTTTTTTAGGCTTAAACCGGGTGTGATTGAGAGATGGAATCTGTGTCCGAATCTTCCCTTTATAGGCCTTTCCGCCCACTTATTTTTGCTGATTAATACGTTTCAGACCTTGGTGCTTCTATTCGTGCAGAAAAAGGAAAATTTTGGGCGAGTACCGTAAAGTAGTCACCCCCGTATACTACTTTACGGTACCCGATCTCAAAACTAAAATGAGGTTTTCTCCCTAAAAGTGCCTTCCGCCACCTAATTTTTGTCGATGAGTCCGTTTCTGACCTTTATTTAGCGATTTGAACATAAAAACCGCATTTTGGGAGAGTACCGTAAACCTGAATTTTCCCCCATCTTCAACTTCCCTATCAATAAATTGCCTGCTTTATTAGCTTCATGCACGGCAATTATGGATTAAAACACCGAAAAAAACACAAATTAGGGTGGAGATGGCAAACATATGCATAACAGGGTTGAAAAACAGTTTTTTCGGTATTTCCAGGACTTTGAAATCGGGGGATTTTAGCCCGGCCCAAACAGCCAATTCAAAAATCCCCGATTTCGACGGCTCCAAAATTCGGCCAATTTGCCTGTTTTTAAAAATCCCCGATTTCGGGAAAAATCCCCGATTCCGGGAAAAATCCCCGATTCCGTGAAAAATCCCCGATTCCGGTGATCCCCGGCAAAAATCCCCTTTTCCTGGAAAAATCCCCGATTCCTGGAAAAATCCCCTTTTCCTGGAAAAATCCCCGATTCCTGGAAAAATCCCCGCTGCCGGTATAGAACCGAACTTTCTTTATTTGAACCTATTCAGCATGTCGTTGGGGTGCAATCTATGCGTTTTCGCAGTATTGCCCCCGAAAACAGTAGCTTAAACCACACAGGTCCCTATACCTTTCGTATTATGAAAGAGCCATACTTTATTTCCTTTGCCCGTTCCTATTTGACAATGACTGCGCACCGTGTACAGCCTGAATTTGTGCGTCGACTCGGCTGAATGGCTGCCAAAATTGTGTGGCAACTACTTGCAAGACGTCGTCCAACTGAATGTATTCAATGTTCGTTGTGATTCTCCACGGCCCTATAACGAAATACAGGGTGTCCCAAAAAAACCCCCCCTCGGCATTTGGCCGTCTTCCATCCAATCGGGACCAAATTTTTACCAGTGATGCGGACCCATAAAAACTATGTGCAGCCGAATTTTCTAAGCAAAATATTGTAAAACAAAGAAGATATATCAAAATTAAGGTTTATTTTGCCGATTTCACTAGGATTTTGACGGATTTCGGCCTCGAAATGTTTAGCAAAAATGAAGAGGGCGCTCTTTTCTACCTGTAGAAATTTTTTCATTTACGAAAATTACGTTTAAATGGGGCCTTTCGAGCACTTTTTATTATCGAAATTGCCAGAAACTGACCGAGAAATGACCATTTTTTGGAAAATTATTCAAAATCCGCATGCTAATTGCGAAACATAGCCAAAAACGAGTACCAGCGTTCTCCAAAAATCAGTTTTTAAGCGATAACTTTTTGGTTTTACAATATTTTGCTTAGAAAATTTGGCTGCACATAGTTTTTATGGGTCCGCATCACTGGTAAAAATTTGGCCCCGATCCGATAGAAGACGGTCAAATGCCGAGGGGGTTTTTTTGGGACACCCTGTATAGCCATTTTTGAGCAGTTTATATTGTTTTTAGTTATAAAAACGGTAAGAGTTTACTTTACCCCCCCACAGCCGAAGGGTCTCAAAGTTGTCGGTATTTTCGCTTATTTTGTCCGGATTTTTGCAACGCCATTCGATAGAGCGTCGAAAAATATACTAAGAGTTTTAATTTGAGCCTACAATAATGTAAAATAAAAAAGTTATAGCCAAAAACTTCCGGCTGGGGGGGGGGGTAAAGTAGACCGTAGCCGAACAGGGAACCGAGATACGGTAGATGAAGGTCGGCTGGGGTGGCAGACGTGACTCGAAACTTACCCTTTGGAACCTGTACTCCCATGGCGAGAACCAGCCGGCGAGGAAGCACGGCGCCCATCGTCCGTTCGGCGATGGCCCCTGAAAAAAGAAATATCGATCGACCAGGTACAGTACCCAAATGATGCAGCGGGATGCCCATGGGATACAGCGACGAATCGCCCATTGGAGCAAGAGAATCGCGGTCACGATGACCAGGCCATACCACCAGACTGAAAGACGCGCCTTGTATAGGCTTCGAAAGGCCTGGTAAGTCTAAGCCGAATCCTGTCCCTAAGCGTAAGCTTAAGTCTAGTCCGATTTGAAGCAAACCGACCGGAAAACGTCGCGTAGGGCTCGTCGTCCGTGGGTGGATCGAAAGGGCCCGACGGGTTGCCGAGACTAAAACCGAAAATGCGCTTGCGAAAGGCCATTTTCGTGTCGCTCTCTCTGTGTCTCTCGCTCGCTCTCTCTTCCTCTCTCTCTCTCCCCTCTCTCTCACTCTCCCACTCCCCTCACTCAAACGTACTTGTCGCCGATGACGGCGTCGTTGATGAGGATGAAGAGCAGCAGGGTTAGCATACGGTAGCTGGGCATACTGTAGCCACCAATAGAACTATCAACAATCGGTTAGTTGGAAGTGGAAGTTGTTTCTCACGTTTTTACAATTCCAGCGTAAAATATGCAAATTTAAAATATATAATTGAAGCAAATCTACTGTGATCATCTACAGCTTGGCCAGCTACCAGAGTCCATCGGAAGATCCTCAATAACCCGGTACGAATATTTATCGAAAAATACAATGGCGATACGAAAACACATCTAATCATCCAAAGAAAGCACATTCCAGAGGGGGCCGGGCCAGAGATCAACCGGAAGGAATACGGTGGGTATTCTAGGTCGAGGTGCGGTAGATGATCATCGCTTCCATCGTAGACGTCGAATGCGCGTCTTCTCCGCCCTCTCGGCTTTCAATTCCTCCTGCATCCGTCTTACGTTTGCCAAGGTCAAGGCGTGTTCGGTGTAGCTACCATCCTTGTGTTTCCGCCGAAACTGAAACGGTGTTTGGAAAGCGAGAGACAGCGAGAGAGAGAGGGAGAGACAGGGAGATAGAGACAGAGAGAGAGAGACCTACGGTGACTATCGGCCGGGTCCACCACAGGAAGATGGGACGGATAACCCATCGGACCACAGCAATCGCAGCCGCCGCTCCCAAGCAGTACCACCAAACTGAAAGGAAGATGCAAACCTAAGTTTAAGCCTAAGCCTAAACTTTAGCCTAAGCCTAAGCCTAAGCATCAGCCCTGAGCATACGCTCGAAGATTAAGCCCAAGCCTAAGCCCAAGCCGAAACCTAAGCCTAAGCCCAAGTCAAAGCTAAGCCTAAACTGGCGAGTGCGAAAAAACCGTACTTGGCCAGGCATCGGTCGTCCGCTGAAATAGGTAGGCAGCAACGGCGGTGATGAAGAGCGAGACCAACACTAGATCACTGAGCACCAGCTTGTAGTTGCAGCGCCAAGGCTTTTCCGTTGGGCTGTAAAGGTGTTGAAGGTCTCTCTCACTCTCTCTCTCTCTCTCTCTCTCTCTCTCTCTTTCTCTCTCTATCTTTCAAATTTTCAAACCCTACTTCTGAGCCGAGCTGCTATAGATCGGCGTCTGAGCGAGGGGAGAAGGGAATGGGTTCCTCCTAGAAACAAAAAAAACGAAACATCGTTAGCATCTCACGTACTCCTTGCCCACGACGGCGTGGCTGGTGAGGATGAAGAGCAGCAGGGCTAGAATACGGTAGCTGGGCATACTGTAGCCACGAAGCAGAACGATCAACGATCAGCTAATTGGAAGAGTGAAGTTGTTTCTCACTTTTTACAATTCCAGCGACAAATATGCAAATTTTAGACCATCATATATAAACTACTATACTACTATACTATATACATCCTACTATATATAAAAAAATAGTGTCTGTGTGTGTGTCCGTGCCACTTTGCATGCAACTTCCGTCATTCTGTCCGGAGGATATCTCGGAAAGGGAAGGTTTTTAAGGTATGTTTGATTCGTCATTAGATGGGTAATGGTCTGGAGATGACTGCACCAATATCAGTTTTTACAAATTCAGCTGTTTTCGACATTAAATTTAAGTTTTTGTTGAAAAATCGGGCGGCTTTCTTTGTTAGGAAATAATTAGCATACGCCGGAAGTTGCGGCGGCCTATATATAACCCGAGACAGTGGCATTTCTTCATTTTTCTCATCGAAAATCGAAAGACGTATGCAGAGTGAAGAATATGATAGGGTTGGACGGGGCCAGGGTTGAAAAGTCGCGAAGCGGCTTTTGAACCCTGGTACTATATATAAAAAAATAGTGTCTGTGTGTGTGTGTGTGTGTGTGTGTGTGTGCCACTTTGCATGCAACTTCCGTCAGCGTGTCCGGAGGATATCTCAAGAGGAGAAGGGATGAGTATGATACGTCATTAGACGCCTAATGGTCTGTAGATGACTGCACGCGTATTAGATTTTTCAAAATCGATTGTTTTCGACATTAAAATTAAGTTTTTATTTCAAAATCGGACACCCTCTTTGTTAGGACAAAATTAGCATACGCCGGAAGCGGGAGTAGCCTATATAACCGCGAAGATACACGCTTTTCATTTTTTGACATAAAAGTGCGGAAGGGTTATGCAAAGCGAGGGATATCATAGGGTTGGACGGGGCCAGGGTTGAAAAGTCGCGAAGCGGCTTTTCAACCCTGGTTGGAACGAATCTAAGTCAGCTATCGCATTGAACGTTCAGTGGGACGGCCTTGAGGTAAACTACAGCTAGCAGAGTCCATTGGAAGAATCTCAAAAACCCGGTGCGAATATTTATTCCAAAAAATCCATTGGCGATGCCAAAGCACATCTAATCAACCAAGGAAAGCACATTCAAAAGGGACGGGGCCAGAGATTTGACAATGACTGCGCACCGTGTACAGCCTGAATTTGTGCGTCGACTCGGCTGAATGGCTGCCAAAATTGTGTGGCAACTACTTGCAAGACGTCGTCCAACTGAATGTATTCAATGTTCGTTGTGATTCTCCACGGCCCTATAACGAAATACAGGGTGTCCCAAAAAAAAAAACCCCCCCCTCGGCATTTGGCCGTCTTCCATTCAATCGGGACCAAATTTTTACCAGTGATGCGGTCCCATAAAAACTATGTGCAGCCGAATTTTCTAAGCAAAATATTGTAAAACAAAGAAGATATATCAAAATTAAGGTTTATTTTGCCGATTTCACTAGGATTTTGACGGATTTCGGCCTCGAAATGTTTAGCAAAAATGAAGAGGGCGCTCTTTTCTACCTGTAGAAATTTTTTCATTTACGAAAATTACGTTTAAATGGGGCCTTTCGATCACTTTTTTATTATCGAAATTGCCAGAAACTGACCGAGAAATGACCATTTTTTGGAAAATTATTCAAAATCCGCATGCTAATTGCGAAAACATAGCCAAAAACGAGTACCAGCGTTCTCCAAAAATCAGTTTTTAAGCGATAACTTTTTGGTTTTACAATATTTTGCTTAGAAAATTTGGATGCACATAGTTTTTATGGGTCCGCATCACTGGTAAAAATTTGGCCCCGATCCGATAGAAGACGGTCAAATGCCGAGGGGGGGTTTTTTTTGGGACACCCTGTATAGCCATTTTTGAGCAGTTTATATTGTTTTTAGTTATAAAAACGGTAAGAGTTTACTTTACCCCCCACAGCCGAAGGGTCTCAAAGTTGTCGGTATTTTCGCTTATTTTGTCCGGGTTTTTGCAACGCCATTCGATAGAGCGTCGAAAAATATACTAAGAGTTTTAATTTGAGCCTACAATAATGTAAAATAAAAAAGTTATAGCCAAAAACTTCCGGCTGGGGGGGTATAGTAGACCGTAGCCGAACAGGGAACCGAGATACGGTAGATGAAGGTCGGCTGGGGTGGCAGACGTGACTCGAAACTTACCCTTTGGAACCTGTACTCCCATGGCGAGAACGAACGAGAACGAGAAGATATGGAACGATGACCTCGTACCCAAAATATGATATCAAAAAACGAATCGGAGTCTATGGTCGATGGCCACGTTATGTGGGTGAACACAGCCAACTAGGGCTTCGGTAAGAATCGTATTCCATCAATTATTTCCTATCCTTAAAGCGAGAAAAGTATGTGTGTTTTCTACAATGAAGATTTCTGGGCCGCTAGGCCGAATTTCAAGCTGATTTTTGGCATGGAGGTGGCGAAACACTTTCGCCAAAAACGGGTTTTTGGGTTTTTCGAAATTTCCTCAGTTAACGATTTTACAAGCAAAATAGTGAAAAATCCTTGACAAAGTGGGCTACGAGCCGTGGTGTTCGAGCTCCGTAACTCGAAGCCCAGATGGAATTTCGGGCTGTGATTTGGAACACGTATGTATTCGTTAGTGGGGTTGACGTGCATCATATTATCTTGACTAATTTTTAGCGTATTCCGACTGAAAAAATGGAATTTTGTAAAGTTCTGGTGTCTCCGGGATCACTGGGGCGCCCTTTTCTTTGCCTTTTCGAACTTTTTGCTTTTTGGTTCAATCTCGGAACAAAACATATCTCTAGGCTCTCGGTGTGCGAGGTTTAGGCCTGGCTCTCGCTCTAGCGCCGCAGGCCGAAGAAATGGTCCCTGGCCCAGGCTCTCGCGCCGCAGGCCAGATCCCAGGAGAGAAAAACCAGTAACTAGCGCCGCTGGCTCCAAGATTCTAGCGCAACGCTGGCTCTGGCGCCGCGGGCCAAATAATAGCTCCTTTACTCAGGTTCTTGCGCCGCAGGCCTAAAAAAAGAAGATATTCAAATTCATGGTTCCTGGACGGGTTCCAGTGGAAAAGGGCCGCGAAACGGTCTTTTTCCACTGGTTTTTATGTTTCTAATTCAGCGCTTACAAAACTCGTGGCATGCCAATCGATAGATTCCTGCCCTTTCTTCTCCACATCCGTTCCCCGATGTATTTGTGGATCTCGCTGACGCCCGGTTTCGAGCAGGTCATCGTTATTTTCGCTTCGAATTGTTTTCTAACCTAAAATTAAAAACAGTTGCGCTAAACGTTTTTTTCAGGGGCTCACCACCGAGCACAAGATTCCGGAAAGCTCCCGCCCGACGCCAGCCAATTTTAATTTTGATGTAGGTTAGGTTTAATTTTAGTAAGTTTAATTCAAACGTGCAGTTGAGGCCGTTTGTCCGCAACCTGCGCACCGTGTACAGCCTCAATTTGTGCGTCGACTCGGCTGAATGGCTGCGAAAATTGTGTGGCAACTACTTGCAAGACGTCGTCCAACTGAATGTACAGGGTGTGCAAAAAAAAAAGGCCACAGTTTGGGTCGAAATAACTCGCGAACGGTAGAGAATCGAAGGTACGTTACCATGCCAGAATGCTTAAATATGCTGGGTATGAAGATTTAACACAACTTGATTTTTTCGATTTTTGAGTACGAAACTGTACTATTGACGCTGGTTACGACCGAAAATTGTGCGTTCTTGAACGGGTGGTGGGAAAATTCTGATTTTTGGCCTAAAAATAGTATAAATTTGTAAAAATGTAATGGCAAAATTTTAGAATTTATCGAGGTCAATTTCATTTTTTAAAGCAAAACAATTTTCGCGAGTTTTCGTTATTTTTGTTCTTTGAGGGATAACTCGCTTCTAACAGACTACTCATGGCTGATATTTTGTCAATGACCTATCCAAATATTAATCTCGGATTCCACACCAGATTCCACTACAATCTATGGTATTTTTGTATTGCTTGCTAAAACGTGCCCCAGTGGGGTACTGTAGGTTTCGTTTTTCCCGCTTTTCTCGGGGCCCCTAGCTTCGATCCGGCTGAAATTTTTTGGGTTGTTAGGCAATAAGTAGGGGCATCTCACTGCCAAATACGAGAGCGTACTATCCACAAACATTCATGAAAAAGATTAAAAACTGGGTTTTAATACTGCTACTCTAATATTTTAATTCTGCGGCAGAATTTTGTAAATTTTTTGGTCAATTGGTCCAAAAACTGCTACTATTGGTTTTACGAAAAGATCGAAGCGATTCCATGGCAAAAACACCACGAAAATCGCAAATCTCGGTTTTCTACAGTAACCCCCGTGGAGCGCGTTTTAGCATGTCATCACAAAATTCCATAAAGTGACGATTTTTCTATTCGAGGGCCTTCTAGAGATGATTGTAAGATAACCTGTTAAAAATTACTGATTTTCGGTGGTAAATAACAAAGTTACGAGGCCAAGTGCAAAACAAGGCCAGAGAGCCGATTTTGGGTCCGAGTAGCCGGGGTCAATTTCCGAATTTTTAAAATAAAAAACCAGCTGAGTCTGATGGATACGATTATAAATTTGATGTTATTATTTACGCTCGTCAAATTTGGGGGCAATCTGATTCACGATCATGGTGACTTTCAGCCAAAAATGGAAAATCATCCTGTTCCAAAACCGAAATTTAAAATTCGTCCTAAAATTTTTGCGACGTGAAATTGCTTTAATCTTTGCATAGTTTTATTCAACTGATGGCACTGACTTACTGCTCAAAATATCCCTAAGACTCCACCTTCCAAAATTTTTTTACGCAACCTCCAATTAGGTTTATTTCGGGTTTTGATGAATTTTCTTGGTACCAACGGCTGGTTAAAAAAATTCATGAATAAGGCTTTATGATGCGCTATTTAAATTATATCAGCTAAAAATAAAACGAAAATTTTCATAGCGCGACTAAATTTTATAAAATGGTGGCAATATTCGGAAAAATGCATGAACCAA